TCTAAAAGTGGGGAGTGACGTATTTGCCGTTGCCGAGGCGCAGTGCAAGAAAGGTGAAGACATCATCTTTACTGCATTTTGTCCGAACTCTACGGGAAACGGAGGATGTGAAACAGAAGGAAGTTATGAAGGATGCCAAAAAGAAGACACAATTTTTGGAGAAAGAAGGTTCTGGAGGGAATAAAGTGGATGTGAGCCGGCCAACAATAGTTGTGAAGGAAAATGATATTTATATGATTGCTGGGACTTACAGCTCGAACCCTGCTGATGGTTGTCAGGATGGGGCTGACGTGGCTACTTTGAAACTTCTGCTGGTAAAAGGGCAAGTCAGTGATGAAGAAAACAAAAAAATTGGCTGGAACGATGCTCACGCTCTACCGTGCACTTTTTTAAACCAAGAACACAAATCCTGGACGCGGCTGACTGGCGGAGGCGGATCGGGTGTCAAGATGGATGACGGTACGGTTGTGTTCCCCGTGGAAGGCACGAAGAAGGGTGACGCAAGAAACGATGAAAAGGCCGTTTCTCTGATCATTCACTCCTTGAAGGATACTAAGAGTTGGGTACTGTCGAAGGGGACGTCTGACGGTGGCTGCAGTGCTCCCTCCGTCGTGGAGTGGGAGGACAAAAAAATCATCATGATGACTGCGTGTGATGATGGCCGCCGCAGGGTGTACGAGTCCGGTGACAAGGGGGAGTCGTGGACGGAGGCACTCGGGACACTCTCGCTCGTGTGGGGCAACAAAAAGGGTGAAAAGGTTGAAATTGTTGGGAGCGGGCTCATTACAGCGACTGTTGGAGAAGATAAGAGAAAAGTGATGCTTGTCACTCTGCCGGTGTATTCGAAGGAGAAGGACAAAGGAGGAAACGAGGAAAAGAGTGAACTCCATCTTTGGCTGACGGACAATACGCACATTGTTGATATTGGGCCGGTATCCGGTGATGATGACGCTGCCGCCAGCTCCCTGTTGTACAAAAGTGGAGATAATAATAAAGGTAAGAAGGAGGAGTTGATTGCACTGTACGAGAAGAAGAAGGACGGTGAGGATACAACATCACCCGGTATGGTCTCTGTGCGTCTGACTGAGCAGCTGCAGCGGGTGAAGGAGGTGCTAGCGACGTGGAAGAATGTGGACGAACGTGTCTCCAAGCTGTGCACCACTTTACTTGCACAGAAGGTTACCTCACCTAACACTGCCTGCAATACTGTTAAGGTCACGGATGGGCTGGTTGGCTTTTTGTCCGGCAAATTTTTTGGCGACACATGGAGGGACGAGTACCTCGGGGTGAACGCTACAGCAAAGGGGAATGTTAGGGCGGAAAAGGAGGATAACGGCGTGACATTCATGGGGCGCGTGGGCGCAGTGGCCCGTTGGCGAGCAGGGGGAGAATCAGCTGTACCACTTTGCGAACTACAACTTCACTCTTGTGGCGACGGTGTCCATCCACGAGGTGCCGACGAGGGAGACACTCCCATTCCTTTGATGGGTATGCGTGTTAAGATTAATGGCGATGAGAATCCAGTACTCCTGGGACTGTCGTACAACAACAGAGAAAAGAAGTGTATATTAGTGTGCAGTGGCGGAACGAACTCTGAGGATCAAAGCGTCACTTTGGAAGTCAGGGACAACGAACCATATGGCCATTGTGCTACAGAACGGCAGCCAGGGCTCCGCGTACGTCGATGGTCAGCCTGTATTGGGAGATGCACAATGCGAAGTGTAAAATACGAATTTGAAAGGAATCTCCCACTTCTACATTGGAGGGGATGGAAGCAGCACAGACAGCACAGGGATCCAAGAAGTGGCTGTGACTGTGAGGAACGTCCTGCTGTACAACCGCCCGTTGGATGCCGCGGAGATTAATGCGCTTAACCCGAATAAGGCTTCTATTCCACCTCAGGAAGACCTAAGCACGGCGGCGGTGGATACTCGTTCGACAGCGGTAAGTGCACCAGCTGCGCAGGAAACCGTGTCCCCGTCTACTCCTGGTGGATCACAGCAGACTGAACAGGAACTGTTATTGGGGAGCAGTGGTGAACATGGGGAGGCAGCTGGAAGAACGGATGGGCAGGAGGAAGAGATCCAGCCTCAGAAAAGCGACGTAAAAGCTGCGGCGCTCAGCAGCAGCCTCGGAAATGTGTCGCAGGGGAATAACACCGATGCCGGCACTGTGCGTGAGAGCGGACTGCTGCTGTCGCTGCTTCTTCTGCTGGGCCTGTGTGGGTTTGCGGCTCTGTGAGGAGTGACTGGCTGCCGCGTGGGACAGTTGCGACCTCCCCTGCACCGACACACACACACACCTGGCAATGAATTTATTATCTCAAATAACTTTTATTTACTTTTCTCTCTGTCTGCTTTGCTGTGCTTTTTTATATCCCCATTTCCTTTTTTTTTTTTTTTGCTTTTGGGGGCAATCACTATGGAAGTTGTTTTCTTCTTTTTCTACTCTTCCCTCTTTTAATTGTTTCTTCTGCACTCTTCCTGTGAGGGGTGCCGTGTGTTTCCCGCCCAACTGCTCCACTCGCACACCCACCGACACGCTCATGACGACGGCCCTGTGCGCCTCGCCTGCTGCACGCATGAGGAGGGGCCGCGACGAACGGCGCGCTGAGGGAGCCGTGACGTGTGGGCGTGCGACGATGGCCTGTGGGGCGGAGCACACATTTCTTTCCCTCTTGTTGTTTTTTTTTTGCGGCCAGGGCGGGCAGACACCCGCAGCACCACACACACACAGCCACACCCTGCCGCCGTGTTTTTCTTTTTTTTGCTTTTCTGTGGATGGTGTGTGCCGCTGCCACCGTGCGGTGATGGATGGCGGAGAGCAGTGCCAGACGTATTGCCGACGGACCACTGTGCATTCTTACTGTCTTCTTTACTTAATGGGTGTCTGCTACATACCGTCATGAGTGAAGTGTTTTCTTTTATTGTTTACTTTTGTTTTCGCCCAAATTCGGTGCCGGCTCCGCGGCTTTGCGTCCCACGGAATGCACGAAACGATGATTGGAAGAACAGGCCGGATGCCGCACTAAATGTGAAGAATGTTGTGTTTGCTAGTGAAACAGTAAAGTCTTTTCCTTGATTTTTTTTTCTTGTTGCAGGCAATATGCATACACAAACACATGACTGTATGGTACTCCTTGGCGCATAAGATAAACGTCTTTCCGAATCAATTTTTCCTTTTTTTATGATGTTTTTGGGATTTCTTCTGGACTCCCACCTTTTTTTTTTTTTTTTTGGTAAATCGCCGCGGTTCATTTTTTTTTTTTTTTTTTCCTTTGCGGTGTTCACTGGCGCTGAGTACTTAATTGTCCCGTTGAGTGTCTCTCTGGTAGCTGTGCTGTTGAAATGCCTCCATTTCTTCTTTTCCTTTTTCCTGCTAGAGGCAGTGATGGTCCGCGACGACGATTGTTTTTGCTCCCCCATTGCGATGGCACGAGGGTGACTGGGCGCCCTGCCACGGCCTGCTGAGTGCACTCGGAGGGGAGCGGATGGTGTGCGCCGTGCCTCACTGTGAGTGTGAGACGCCAATCCGTCGGAGAAGAGAGAAGTAAAGCGCAGCGCCGTGGATTTGAATTTGACCCGTCGCTCTTGTTGCGGCCTTTTTTTTTTTTTTTTTTTTGCGGTGTGACGTGGATAGCTGTGCTCTTGCGTGCGTTGTGCTGCAGGCTTCCCTTTTCCATGTCTTTGCCCTGTTGTGTGTGGGGAAGCTGTGGGAGAGGATATGTGTGGGAGAGTGAGTGTGTGTGGCTGCCAGCCTCGCCCTGTGCATTGAGGACTTCCATACACGTGGCTTTGCTTGACGGCGTTTTGCGGCACCCAGGGCGTGGCGAGGAGGAGGATGGGGAGGATCTGTTGTGAGCAGAGGGAGGATGGACAGGACAGTCCCCTTCCGTGTCCTTCCCCGTGTCGTTGGCAGTACATACTGAGAGCATAAATTTGAGCGAGTGCGGGATGAAAGGTTTATGCCGTTTTGTGTGTGCTACTCAATCGTCGTCATTGCATGTTGTCGTCACGGTGCGTTGTGGTGCGGTGCTGTTTGATGAGGGAAGGGTGCGATGCCACGGCTGCTGCGCACCACAACCATTTATTGCCTCTGCACCGGCATTGTTTGTTTTTTGTTTTTTGTTTTTCAGTTTCTGTGGCTTGTTTTTTTTGTTTTTTGTTTTTTTTTGCTTCACGATGAATTTGTTGGAGGAGCTTTGGTTTTGGTGCCTGCTTCACGGCGCTTCGCCTTGTGTGTCGGTTGCGGTGCTTCCACGTGGTTCCAAAGCGTTTGATGGGGTGCTTACCCTTCTTTTTGCGTCCTGCACCCGACCTTGTTTGGCCATGGCGGCAGCAGTGGGACTCTGCGACTGCGTGCTTGCCGTGCGTCTCTCATATTTTGCCGTTGCCCCCTCTTTGTGTTGGTGGGGGAGGAGGCGAGCGACTGCGTCGGTGGAGTTGCGCTCCAGTGGGAGAGGGAAGGCGCTGACCGCCGCTGACGGTGACGGTGGCGGTCTTTGCTGCAGGCGGTCTGACGGGATGACGTCACCGGTGTCACACTTAACCGAGGTGGATGAGGGCCGCGCTGCGTCTCTGTCCCCTCTCTTCGTCCTCTCAGTCCACTGCAGTCACAACCGCCGCGCGGCATCTGCACGACTACCATCCGGACGTCTGTGAGCCAATCGGAATGTAAAATTAGTGTGGACCCTTTTCCCCGTGACCAAGTGCTGCCGCCGTGCTTCTTTGTGTTTCCTTTGTTGTGTATGCCGTGCGCGCATGGTGCCGCTGCTTGCTGCACAATGCCGACTCGCGTGAACGAGAAACGAGGCATTGACTGCTGGGGGCCGGCGAGCTCTCCACTCCACTTACGCACCACCAACACCAACACTTTTTGTACGCGCTTGATGGCTGGCGGTCGTAACGCTGCCACGTGGTCTGCCTCGGCTCTTGTGTGTCGTGCACGGCATCGCGATCGCCATGTGATGGAGCCATTCGGTAACAGGAGCGGTGCCAGTGGTCATTTGACTTTCTGCCGGGATTCCGCCACTCGGCACGGTGGCTGTGTGGGTGGTGGGAGGGCGATGGTGTCACTGAGTTGATTGCGTCAGCGCGGCTTTGCTTCGGCGGCTGTACTGTGACGGGGCTTGTGTATGACCGGATGTTTTTGCGTTCCACTGTGTTTGTTTAATGTTGTTGCTGCTTTTATTTCCTTTTTGACCGTGCAGTTAGAGATACTTTTGATTGACCAGCACAACTATCGTTTCAAGGTGTTAGGAGTTAATTGCAGTATTAGGTTTAGCAGTATTAGTATAACGATCTGGCGGAATCGTGTCACTGGATTCGCCATCTGTAGGAAGGGATTTGCTAGGCAGGAGTTAAGGTCGACGGTGCGAGAGCGACACACCACGACAGCTCTGTTGGTGCCTGTTTGGGTTGGTGGATGTGGTCTTCTGTGGGCGCGTGTCCGCGCAGCCGGCACCGTGTGCGGCGCAGGGTCATTGCGGCTGTGCGTGTGGCGCTGCTCGTTGTGTTGGCGCTGGTTGCGGCGGCGGCGTGGGTGCCCGCGGTGCATGCGGTGGTGCTGCGACTGCGGGGCGGCACGGTGGACAGAGCCATCACGGTTGGCTACGCCGTGGACACGGTGCTGATGGACGGCGTGTACATCACGAACGGCGTGGCTGTGGTGTTCGACGTGCCGGCGATGCTTCCCGGCTCGCTGCGCATTGA